CCTTTTGGCATTGCTGCTGCTGCTGCTGCTTCTTCTTTTGGTTTTTCAAGACAGGGTTTCTCTGTGTGTACCTTTGGCTGTCCTAGAACTCACTCTGTAGACCAGGCTGGCCTCAAACTCATAGAGATCCGCCGGCCTCTGCCTCCCAAGTGCTGGGATGAGCAGTGTGCGCAACCACGCCCAGCTTTTGCATTGCTTCTTTAAAAATGGGCATACCTTGGGGCTGGAGAGATGGCCCAGTGGTTGAGCACCATTTGCTCTGGCAGAGGACCCAAGTTCAGTTCCCAGCACCCACATGCTGGGAACCAGGCTCACAAGCAGGCATAACTCCAGTTTCAGAGGATCCGATGTCTTCTCCTACCTCCACAGACACCAGGCATAAAGTGGTGTGTAAACGTACATACAGGCAAAAACATTCATACTATAAAATAAAATAAATAACATCTACGCCAATGTCCTCCTACGTAACAAATGGGGAAACTGAGGCTCACAGAACATCTTGCTCCGGCCACACAGCCAATCAGGTCTAAAGGAGACTGCCACAGGCTTGCCCTGTGCCCTGCTTACTCTCCCTTCAGGAAGCAGGTTTTTCAGGTCTGGCTTCCAAGCCTGGCTTCTCCAACTACCTTGTTATCTGCCTGTCCCCTCCTCCCTCCGCTTCTGGCTTCTTCCCTCTGCCTTCCTGGCCTTTGTTCTTTTTCCCCCAGGCTCAGCTTTGCTCCTCTAGGTCATGGGGGTAAGGACTCACTCACCTATCCCAGCACCTGGGATAAAAATGGACTGTACATCTATCATCCTCGTACTTGGGAGACAAGAAAATCGGAAGTTCAAGGACATCCTGGGGTTTATACATCATGACCCTATCTCAAACTAAAGTTAAAAACTGGGCTAGAAGCCGAGCGTAGCGGCACACACCTGTAATCCCAGCACTTGGGAGGCAGAAGCAAGCAGATCTCTTCGAGTTCAAGGCCAGCCTGGTCTACAAAGTGAGTCCAGGACAGCCAAGGCTACACAGAGAAACCTTGTCTTGAAAAGCCAGAGAGAGAAAAAATAAGAAATGGGGCTGGAAAGATGGCTCAGTGGTAAGTAGTGGTAAGTGGCTCACTCTTTGCTCTTCCAGAGAACCTGAGTTCAGTTCCCATCACGCACATAAGACGGCCTGTAACTCCAACCGCAGGATATTGGATGCCATCTTCTGGTCTCTGTGAGCTCGTACACTCACATGGCATGCACACACAAACACACATACACATACATAAATAGAAATTAATCTTTAAAAAAAGCAGCCAAGGTGTGCCTTTAATCCCAGCACACAGGAAACAAAGGCAAGCGGATCCATGGAGCAAGTTCCAGGTTAGCCCCCAGGGTTGCGCAGAGAAATCCTGTCTCAAGAACAACAACAATAACCAAAAAGTGCAAGGTGCTGGAGAGACGGCTCTACAGTTAAGAGCAAGTGCTGTTCTTCCAGAGGGCCTGTATTCAGTTCCCAGCACCCTAGTTAGGAGGTTCACAATGCCCCAAATTCCAGCTCCAGGTTTCAGATGGTCTCTTTTGTTCTCCCCAGTCCCCTGCACAAATGTTCACACATACACATAAAAAAATTAAATGAGCCAGGCAGTCAGTAGTGGCACATGCCCTTAATCCCCACCTGAGAGGCAGAGGCAGGTGGATCTCTGTGAGCTGGAGGCCAGCCTGGTCTACAGAGTGAGTCCAGGACAGTCAGGGCTCTTTTACACAAAAAAACCCTAACCAAAAAAAAATAATAAAATAAAATATATTTTTTTTAAATCTAAGTTAAAATTTTAAAACATTTAAAAGGGGGCTGAGGATGTGAGGTAGCTCAGTTGGTGGAGGGTTTGCCTGGCATACATAAAGCCCTGAGTTCCACCACCATTGCTAATGAAATCAGCTGTGGTGCCACAACCTCTAATCCTAGCACCAGAGGGAGGTGCAGTCAGGAGAATCGGTTCAAGGTCATCCTCAGCTAGATATCAAGTTTGAGGCCAGCATGGGCTATATAAGACTCTGTCTTTTTAAAAAAGAATTGGGGATGGGGGGAGAATAATTAAAAAACAGATGGAGGCGACAGCTTGCAGTTGCCCTGGACAAAGTCCCACCTCAGACTTGCCCAGCCCCGGGGGGAAGAAGCGACAGGGAAGAGTCAAGAAACCAGTGGGTTCTGAGAAGCCCTGCTTCTGTGTCATTGAAGCCAAGAGGCTTCAGGGACTCAAGATTCACAAGGTCCAGATTGCGCGAGGCCCCACAGCTTTTATGGTAAGGATCTGAAGGCCATCTCCGGAAAAACAACAGAGAAAAAAAAAAAAGAGATCATCCTCTACCAGTTCTACAGACCCATAAGTCTGTGTGCACATGGCGCTGGGGCACGTCTTTGTGGGGTCCTATATCAGTGGTCTCAGCCTGTATGGGACTGAGGGGATTGGAAATCTGGGGCTAGCAACGCTAAAGCCAGGGATATCTAAGCAAACACGAACAAATCAGTCACCTTGGACTCACAGCTCGGGCTCCCTAGCTCTGTGGGAAAGTCTGGGATTGCCAGACCCCACAGTAGATGGGAAACCGTGAAGGCTGAGAGAAGGGATGGGTCCCCACTCCAGAATGTGTTAGGATGTCTCTATATCCCACTCTATATCCCAAAGAGGGAACAGAGGCAACAGGGCACAACATGAAATTTACCACCTAAAAAAACCATTTCTCTTTTTCCACTTCCTCAGACACACACACCCAGAGCTGAGGTTGAAGACCACGGCCTTACACTTGCTAGGCAAGCAGTCTACCCCTAACCATACCCCAAGTCCCATTTTCACCCTTTCTAAGTGTGTACCTCAATGATATTTTGTATCCCATGTTGCTGTCCAATAATCAGCAGGTATTACTTTAATGATCAGGTGGAGGGGCAAAAATATTTATCTTCTTTTTAGACAGTCTCATGTTGCCCAGGCTTCTGCCTCTACCTTCTGAATACAGAGATTACAGGCATGGGCCACTGCTCAAAGGACCCCCTGCCCTTTTTATCAAGTTACTTATTTATCTATTTATTTATTGATTGATTGATTGATTGCTTTTTTGAGATAGGGTTTCTCTGTGTATCTCCAGCTGTCCTGGCACTCACTCTGTAGACCAGGCTGGCCTCAAACTCAGAGATCCACCTGCCTCTGCCTCTGGAGTGCTCGGATCAAAGACCCGCACCACCACCGCCCAGAATCAAAGCTTCTTCTCTAGATTTTAACAACATTTTTCTCCAGCCTATGGTACATGCTGTTGCTAAAAGGATAAAGCACCTGGCATCTGGGTGTGTGAGCTGAGCTGGGAGGTCATAAAGGGCTTTGGGCTGCAGTTGGACCAGATCACCTTTTACATCCTTTCCAATATGGAAATTACTGGCTTTGCCACCTCCCTTGGAGCAGAAGCCCATCCTCTGGTGACAGAAAGAGCCGTTCCCAAGCTCAGTGTGTGGGTGCTAGACCTAGTTAATTTTTCCCCCTCCTGCATGGCATGTCCTCCTTTTACCCGGACGTCCATCCCACTAGAACCAATATGACATCACCTCCACGAAGCACTTCAATTCCACAGCAGGGAGACCCCTGTCCTGGCTCCCTCCCCAGTGGGACTGTGGGCTCCCTGAGCATCGGTGCTGAGCCTGAGTCATGCTGCCCTATCTCCGGGCCTGACAGACTCAAAAAAGCTTTGCTAAATGAAGCCATCACCGGTAGAAATGACCCAAGCACAAGAAAACACCCACGCCCCAACACAACACTTGCCACAACTCCACCTCCCAGCCAGGGACTCCAGAGGGGTCAGAGGAAGCAGCCCACAGTCAACCCATCCGACCAGGCATGTGTCCCCAGGGTTCCTTCTCTACCTAGGGCTTCTGCAAGCTGAGGAGTGCCAAAATGCATAAATTCGGTGTCACAAACCCTCACAGATATATCTGGGCTGCATGGCCATAAAGAGTAACAGAAACAAGGCTCCCTGTAAGGAGGACATTTAAACATTTCCTAAGACCAGAATAAATCTCAAGCCATTCCACCCATCAGATCCTGATATGGCCCTGAAACCCAGGAAAGAAGGGCACCTCAGCAAGCCCAGGTCACAGCTGACTTCAATCACAGCTACCAAGGGTCCCTGACCTGTGTCACCAACGCTGGTTCTTCCAGTCTTAGCACACTAGGAATGGGCCCCATGGGGTGCAAAGCCCCTTGAGCCTCCCCTTCAAGCTGTTTCTGCCCCACCCTCCCAGGTTTGAGCTGCGCCCCACCCAGCACTGGGGGTCCGGCATCGACGAGGTGGGCTGAAAACAGAGAAGGCTGCTCTCCACTGCGTGGAAGGGAGCCTTCTCCAGGCAACACCTAGCAGCCACTCAGGTGTACGCTGGGGATGGGAGTGCTGCGGATTCATAAAATGTCAGCGCCCAAGGGGGCCTCAAGAAGGCTCCTCCCACCCCTATAAATCGAGAAACTGAGGCATGACGGTGAGGTGACGTTCCCCACCCTGCTCAGAACTGAATCCCTCGTTTCCCTGATCTTGGGTGGTTCCCGGCCCAAGGTCACGCGGCGAAGCAGATGCGGGTCTCGAAGGAACCCAAGTATCCAGGCTCCAGACTCAGGGCTCCGCAGCGTGCGGGGTGAGAGAGAGAGAAAAAAAACAAAACCTAGCTCCCGGTTCAGGGCCCGACCTCGCGCGGCAGGTGCAGCGGTGCGCTCTAGCCGCCCTAGCTAGAAGATCCACGCCCTGATCCGCGCCCCCATAATCGGCCTTAGACTCGGGCTCCGTCCCCACGGACGCGCGCGAACCAAGCCGCTAGCTGCAGAGCAGCGACAGCAGCCTGGAGGTCACGGCGACGGGGCTGAGGAACTCGGTGGCAGGGGCCGGGAAAGCGGCGAACGGCCGGGATCCACTGCGTCGGCAGGGCCGCCCCGGCCAGGTGAGGTCGCGCCAGTCCCCGGCGACCCGCGCCCCAGCCCGCCTGGCTGGCTCCTTACCCAAGACACGACGCGCAGGATGGTGTGCGGCTGCCGCACCAGGGTGTAGGGGTCGAAGGCGCCCCCGGCTTTGCCCGCTCCGTACGCACCCCCTTCCATCGTGGCTGCACCGCGCGGCGCCCCCCGCTCGGCGCGCGCCGCCGGCCCGTGCGCGTGCGCGGCGCCCCCGCCCCCTCCCCTGTGCGCGGCTGGCGTGGCCGGGGGCCCCCCGCCAGGGGGCGCTCGCACACGGCAGGCGCGGCTCTCGGAAGCGCGCTCCCGGGGAGCTCGTGCTACGCGGGGGTCCCCGGGACCCGCGCGCTCCTCGCCAGCCCGGTGACCTCTTTGCAAAGTAGCGCGTGGTCGGGGTGTGGACAGACAGGGCAGACGCGTCCCCGCTTTCGGGAGCAGTAGCCCTTCGGGAAACCCTCCTCGCTATTTGTTTATAGTATCCGTCTGTTTATTTGTTTGCCTCTTTCCTTTCGCTGTCTGCCCTACATCGAGGGAAGGGGCTCCTCTTGACCGTAGACGGCTCATTGAACGCGCCGCTGAGTCGCTGGTTGCAGGAATGACCCTCTCTAAGAGACCTGCAGGGCCTCCTGAGGACCCCAGAACCACCTTGCGTCCTTGCTCCACCAATGACATCATGCATGCGCACCCCCACCTGAAAGGACCTATAAGGAAGGCAAAAGCTGGAAGAAGAAAAAAAAAAAAAAATACCTTTCTCCTTCCACTAAGCTTCCTGTCCCTTAATCGAGTAATTAATTATGCAATTATTTCTTCCATTGGCTCCTGTTTGTGGTCTCCTGCTGGACAAGGTTTATCTATATCCAAAGACCTCACAAATAGTAGGTGGTCAATAAATACAGCCTAGTCTCCACTCTCTCCCCCATCCCAACAGTTTGACTTTAGGGCTCTGGGGTTTTTTGTTTGTTTCGTTTTTATTTGTAGTTTTCTGTTTTGTTTTATTTTGTTTTGTTTTTGAGACAGAGTCTCCTGTAGTCCAGGCTGGCCTCTGGAACTCACCATGTGGAGGGGGATGATTTTGAACTTCTAATGCTCCTGCTTCTTCATCCCAGGTATGGAGTTTCAGGCCTGTGTTACCATACCCATCTGTAATGAGAAATCTTTGAGGCAGCTATTATGCTATGATTCAATGAAACTTCTAGGAGAAAATCTTTGTAACTTCGTGAATAGGAAGACTTTCTTTTTTTTTTTTAATCTTTATTTTGTATTAGTGTTTGTCTGCATGTTCCTGGGGAGGCCAGAAGAGGGTGAGGGGTCCCCTAGAACTGGAGCTACTACAGACCTTTGTGAGACACTGAATGCTAGGAACCAAACTCTGGTCTCTTAACTGCTGAGTCATCCCTCCTGCTCTTTTTGTTGTTTTCTGACAAGAGGGTCTCACACTGTGGTCAAGCTGTGACCTCAGACTCACTATGTGGTCCACGCTAAGTTCAAACCTGGGCAGTCTCCTGTGCTGAGAACATGAACATTAGCCACCACATTGGGGGAAGCACTGTCTCAGAAGCACAAAGCTGTGTGCGGTCAGGAGGCTCCTGGGCAGCCAGCCTGTACTGACTGCCCGACCATCAATGTTGTAGGAACGTTTGTTAAGTCCAAAATCACTGCGGAGAGACCACCGCTCACACATGCAATTAGCAAGAGTGTTTTAGTTCACGAAAACCTGCATGCAAGATTCAAACCATGTTACAGAATGGCCACCCTAGACAAAGGCACACAGGCCTTTTATAGGAAACTAGAGGAATCCTGGCAAGGGTTGGGTAGTCTAAAGCCTCATTGGTGGGTGCCAGGAAAGTTACAAGGGTTGAGATTCCTAATTGGCTTGCCTCCAGGTGGTCAGTGGGCTGCTTCCTGTGCCATGAATGTTTAACTACAGGATAAAATAAGGCTGCCAAGCACAGATGCCCCATCCTGGGATATTTTCCCATTTTTGTGGTCATTTACAGTCTATTCCTTGGGAAGGGAATTCTGTGGTCTAGGTCCTGGAGTTGGTGATGACCTATGACTATGACCTAGTTCCTGGGACTGATGACTTTTCTTTTAAAGTCAGGCCTGGTCCAAAAATGTGGACAGAATAAAGTTTATGTCGTCCTCTCACTTTCTCCTCTTGTCTGTAACCACCTTGTCCTGAGTTCTATACCACAGCAGAGATGAACACGTTTGTGTCTTTTCATGATGTCAGAATTTATCCAATAACAATAAATCAATAAATTCACAAGGTGGAACCGTTTCAACAGCAACAGTTTGCCAGCTAATCCCGCCTGCTTTGGCAATCTAGCTCAGGTGAATGCAGATTATTTTATTCCAGTCTTAATTACTGATATATCGACCCTCTTGTCAAACATCACAGAGTGAAGCAGTTGGTCAATCTATCTGCTTAGGTGTGGTTTACACACTGAGTACCTAGTTTAAAAGGCTATCGCATAGCCAGCAGTGGTGACGCACACCTTTGATCCCAGCATGCTCCAGGCAGAAGCAGGTGGATCTCTGAGTTTGAGGCCAGCCTGTTCAAGGCCAGTTCAGACAGAGTTCCAGGACAGCCAGAGCTACACAGAGAAACCCTGTCTAAAAAACAAACAAACCGAAGGCTAATTCGTCCGTAGTTGAAGAGGTTTCAGAAGTGAGTGAGCCTACAGAAATTCAAATAGAATCTGCCTTGATAAAAAAAGGAACCAAACCAGCATCAGGGAAAAGGGTATGGCTGAGAAATCACTGGATAGTTGAAAAGGAGGATGCAGCCAGCTACAGGGCTGAAGACCAGAAGACTGGAACAGCTGCAGACCCAAACTGCCAGGAAGACAGACACAGGAGTAAGCCATGTCAACAGCCATATTTCAACAGCCAGGGACTGGGCTGAGCTTACATCCAAGAAACAGCCGTTCCATTTGCTTAATTTATTATGTTTATGCGTTTGGGTGCTTTGCTTGTACGTATGTCTGTGTCCGCCATATTGCAGTGCCCATGGAGGCTAGATAGGGGCATTGGATTCACTGGTACTCAAATTACAGCCACCATGTGGGTGCTGGGAATCCACCTGGGTCCTCTGGAGGAAAAGCCAGTGCTCTTAACTATTAAGACATCTCCCAAGCCCCTGTTTTTAATTTGTTGTATTTTTCATGTGTATGCAGGTCAGAGGGCAACTTGTGAGAGTTGGCTCTTTCCTTCCACTAAATGAGTCCCTAAGACTGAACTCCGGGCACCAGGCTCACATTTGTTTTTATTTCCTAGCCCTCATATTTATTTTTCATGTTTGTATTTTATTTTATTACTATTATTTGGTTTTTTGAGTTAGGGTTCTCTCTGGTTGTCCTGAACTCACTTTGTAGACTAGGCTGTCCTGGAACTCACAGAGGTCCGAGTACCTCTGCCTCCCTGAGTGCTGGGACTAAAGGTGTGTGTCACCATGCTGAACCTTATTATTTATTTATGTATTTAAATATTAATTACAGTTAATTGCTTTGTATCCAGTTGTAGCCCCCTTCCTCATTTCCTCCCAATTCTACCCTCTCCTCCTCTTCTCCTCCCATGCCCCTCTCCAAGTCCACTAATAGGGAAGGTCCTCCTCCCCTTCCATCTGAGCCTAGTTTATCAGGTCTCATCAGAACTGGCTGCATTGTCTTCCTCTGTGACCTGGCAAGGCTGTTCCCCCCTCAGGGAGAGGTGGTCAAAGAGCCAGCCACAGAGTTCATGTCAGAGACAGTCTTTTTATTTATTTTTTTAATTTTTATTTTATATGCTGTAGTGTGAAGGAGTCACATCCCTTGGAATTGTCTTTACAGACAGTTGTGAGCTGCCATGTGGGTGCTGGGAATTGAACCCAAGTCCTTCGGAAGAGCAGACAGTGCTCTTAACCACTAAGCCATCTCTCCAGTCCCTTCATTTTGCTTTGTTTCTTCTTTGGTAATAGGATCTCACTAAGCAACATTAGTTGTTCTGGAACTTTGCTTTATAGACCACGCTGGCCGGAAACTCACAAAGATCCACCTTCTTACACCTCCCCAGTGTTGGGATTAAAGACATGGACCACTTTATGGAGAATATAGCAGAATATAAGGAGCCATCTGGGGAGTGCCTTCACACCCCTCTACTGCCCTCCCACAAGCATTCAATGTGATGGGCCCCTGCCAATCAGCTAGGGATGGATGTATTTATCATATGTAGGTGGCCCTTGTGAAATAGATATGTGGTATCTATGTATAGGTCCTGGTCCTGCTTCTTGGCACACAGCCCCTGAAGCTCTTGGAATCTCTGAACTGTTATGTCTTTTTGTATGCTAACGAGCCAGAAGCCTGCTCTGAGGCTGTGGTAACCTTATACTAAAAAGACATCCGCTCAGCAACTCTATTCCCCATCAGACTAACATCCTCCTTGTTATTAAGCACCACGGCAAAAGATTACAGCTTCAAAATATCTTGTGTAACCAGCCCCTCCTTATTTCTGAGCCAGGTTGGCTGTAATCCTAGATTTGGGAGGAGGAAACTGGAGAATCAGTTCAAGGTTAACTTCAGCACTTAAGTTCTGGTGTCCGCCTGGGGTACTTGAGACTATCTAAAACAACAACAACAACAGACTGGACAGAGGGTCCATCCATTAAAAGTAAATGCTGCTCATGCAGTGGGCCAAAGTTCAGATCCCAGCAGTCACACTGGGCGGCTTATAACCTGTAACTCCAGCTGTAAAGGGATCTGTTGCCTATAGCCTCCTTGGGCACCTGCATTTGAGTGCACATAGCCACCCACAGACACATATGTGTAAAATAATGAATTAATTAAAAATAACACATTAAATCCTTATTTTTGCATTCAAAGGTTCCCATTAAGCCACGGAAATGGCTGTTGGGTAAAGCACTTGCATTGCAAACATGAAGACCTGAGTTCCAGTTCCAAGCACTCATATTTAAAAAGTTGTATATAGAGCCTGCAGGTGGTGACACGTGCCTTTGGTCCCAGCAGAGGCAAGCAGATCTCTGTGAGTTCAAGGCCAGCTTGGTCTATGGAGCCAGTTCCAGGGCACCCAGGGCTACACAGAGAGCAAAAACAAAACAAACAACAGATAACAAGAGAAGCATTGCTGAATAGGGGTCAGTAGGAGCAGATGTGGAAGTGTGGTGATTTGAATGAGAATAACCCCT